ATGCCTGAGGAGGACAGAAGAGGCTGTTGGATCCCCTGGAACTGGAGTTACAGACAATTGTTAGCTGCCATGTGGGTGCTGAGATTCGAACCCAGATCTTCTGCAAGAACAACCAGTGCTCTTAACTGCTGAGCCATCTCCCCAGCCCCCCAATTTTTTTTAAAGGAGGTAATAATGGGACTGGGAATGTGGCTCAGTTAGTAGAGTGCTTGCCTTGCAGAAAGCCCTGGGTTCCATCCCCTGCAGTGCCCAAACCCAGGCGTGGTACTGCTTGTCTGTAATCTCATACCTGTGGGACAGAGGAAGGAGGATCAGAAATTCAAGGTCATCCTGGGATATTTAACCAGTTTGAGGCCACCTGAGCTACATGAGAGGACACTGTCTCAAAAGGGAGGGGGAGTTACCAGACTTAGAGGTGCATATGAGGGAGTCACACCCTGACATCTTTAGAAAATACCCTCTGCCACTCGTGCCTCACCTGGAATGGAGATTTTGCTACATGGCAGAGATGGGAACTCTACCTACCTGGCTTGGGGTTTCCTGAGGGCTGGGTACAGCGCAAAAGTTACTCATATCAGAGTGTAGAGCAGAACATGTGGCAAGCTAAGGGCTCCATATCTTATTTATTTATTTATTTTAAATTATTTTTATTTTATGTGTATGAGTGTATTGCCTGCAATGTAGGTAAGTGCACTCATGTCCTGCAGTGCCTCCGGAGGACAGAAGAGGCCGTCGTATCTTCTGGATCTGGAGTTAAGGACAGTTCATAGCTGCCATGTGGGTGCTGGGAATTGAACCCGGGTCCTCTGCAAGAGCAGTCAGTGCTCTTAACCGCTGAGCCATCTCTCCAGATCCCTGATGTCTTGTTTAATGCAACTGAAAAGGACTCAGGATGTCTTTTTTTGTTTATTATTTTTATTTTATGTTTATGAGTGTAATGCCTGCAGGTAGGTGGTGCATCCATGTCGTGCAATGCCCAAGGAGGTCAGAAGAGGGTGTCAGATCCCCTGGAACTGGAGTTACAGATGATTGTTAGCCACCATGTGGGTGCTGGGAATCGAACCTGGGTCCTTCGAAAGAGCAGTCGGTGCTCTCAACCAATGAGCCATCTCTCCAGCTCCAAGCTCAGGAAGTCTTAAAATGTCCTTGTCTTACGGTGGGGGTGGTGGGAGGTGGGCAGAATGTGTAAGGCTAGTCTGCTCAGCATCAAATCTGGCCCCTACCATGTCCAAGCACTTTGATCCCACGCAGAGCTTTCACTTTTGTAGCAGTTTCCTTGTGTGATGTGGGGCTCATAGTGTCTGTGAGGGCGGGACCCAGAGAAGCCAGCACTCAAGTGCGACGGTAGCATTCCAAGTGGTTAGCCAGGTGCCAGGACTTCATGGTGTGAAACAGTGCTGACATCTAGTGGCCAGTCTAGGCTGGAAACAGTTTCAGCACAGTAGATCCAAATCCTGCTATGTACCACCTCAGGCCCAGTCTTAGACTCTCAAATGCCTGTGCATTCCACAGGCCACCACAATGCCGTTCCTTAACTACAGGAAGCCACCACTTCAGCACAACAAGGAGCAAAGCTTGAGAATCGACTGGGAAGTAATTTTTAAAAAAAGATTTATCTTTGCCGGGCGTGGTGGCACAAGCCTTTAATCCCAGCACTTGGGAGGCAGAGGCAGGTGGATCTCTGTGAGTTCAAGGCCAGCCTGGTCTACATAGTGAGTTCCAGGACAGCTGGGGCTACAGGGAGAACCTGTCTCAAAAAGACAAAAAAAAAGATTTATCTTTATGTGTATGAGTATTTGCTTGCATGTATGTAAGTACACCATGTATGTGCCTGGCACTCATGGAAGCCAGAAGAGGGCATCAGATCCCCTGGAACTGAAGTTACAGATGGTTGTGAACCGAACCTGGATGCTGTTCAAGAGCACCCAGTGCTCTTAACTGCTAAGCCTTCTCTCCAGCCCTTTTTCTTTCTGAGACGGTTTTTCTTGTAACCCAAGCTGACCTTGAACTTACAATCACAGTGTTTACCACCACACCATGAAAATTGGGACACTGGGTTGATTCAGGCCTTCGGAGGCTGTGCTGGACAGCTTCAGTTGTCAACTTGACACACCTGGGTAGAGGAAACATCAACTGACCTCCATCAGATTGGCCTGTGGCCATGTCTGTGGGGCATTTTCTTGATTGTTGAGTGATGCGAGTGGGCCCACCCCCTTGTAGGTAATACCACCCCTGGACAGGTGGT